TTGAAAACTGTTTGCAATCTGAGCTCCTAAAGCTGCGATGTTTAGATTGCGGTATTTTCGATGTGTCTGACAGCTCTGAACTCTGTAGGGCAACCCTCACCTTCCCTACTGTCCGTTTATGTTCAGAGAATGCCTTTGATGTCTTACAGACGAAAGCCTGATGCCAAGAACTAGAGGCCTTTTTTTAATTTTCTTTAAGTTTATTTTTACTTGCGTGTGTGATGTGTGCACATCATGTATAAGTGGGTGTACATGCCTGCATGTGAGAGTGGAGGCCAGAGAAGGACATTGAATGGCATGCTCTACCACTCTCCATCTTATGTTATAGGTGTGTGTGTGTGTGTGTGTGTGTGTGTGTGTGTGTGTGTTACAGACATGTGGCAACACTGGGCTTTTTTTTTTTTTTTTAATGTGGGTGCTGGGATCCAAACTCCGGTCCTTAGTGTGTGAGCAGCAAGTGCTCTTATCCACTGAGCCGCCTCTTCAGCTCCTAGAAACATTTATTCTTTCACTGCAAGCATCTTTTACAGGAAGCAGGAAGGGACGTGCTCTCCTTGTTCATTCCAAAGCACAAACTTGAAAACATGGGGCCCCAAGGATGGTACAGATGGTGCAGGGTTCAGCCTGTGTCCCTCCTCTGCTAGTGCTCACCATCCTTCAGTGTCATGGATGCCCCTAAAGAAAAAAAAAGCAGGACCACCCTGAGTCAGACTCAACCCGGAGGTCCATGCGTGAGCATGGCACCTGAAAAGGCTTGGTCTCCCTGAGTTTTTTGTGGTTTTTTAAATTTTTTTTATGTGTATGCGTGTATTGCCTGCATGTAGGTAAGTGCACCCATGTCATGCAACACCCCTGGAGGTCAGAACAGACTGTTGGATCCCCTGAGACTGGAGTTACGGACATGTGGGTGCTGGGATTCGAACCCAGGTCTTCTGTAAGAACAACCAGTGTTCTTAACTGCTGAGCTGTCTCTCCACCCCTCCCCCTTTTCAACATTAGAATATTTAAATTTACATCATGAGAACTAATGAAAGGTTTGAAAAAAGAATGTCAAAAAGTAGGGACTGGAGAAATAGCTCAGCAGTTAAGGGCAGTTGCTGATCTTCCAGAGGACCGGGGTTTGGTTCCAGGAGATGTGACACCCTCTTCTGGCTTCATTCAGGCATAACTCTCACACACATTAAATACAAATACGATTTTATTTTTAAAAGGGTCAAAATCAAAACAAAACTGAAGGTGGGCATGGTGGCACACACCTTTAATCTCAGCACCCAGGAGGCAGAGGCACGTTGAGCTCTGTGAGTTCGAAGCCAGCCTGATCTACATAGCGAGTTCTAGGCCAACCAGAGCTACATAATGAAACCCTGTCTCAAAAAACAAAACAAAGCTCGGTGAAAACAGTGGAGTGTGTAAAAATGCACACAAACCAAACCCCGCAACATTTCTAGTAGCATTACCAACTAGAAGAGGAAATCCTTCCAGAAGTGAATTTGAACAGCAATTCCTAACAGACGCTAATGAGGAATTTAAGATTTCCCATCAATGGTCAGATGCTAATCCAATCAACTATGACTTGGGGGGTTTTAAATAGCACCTAGATAACATTTACTGAGATTTAATTATAGGATCATTTCCTGCTGAAAGTAACTTTTCTGCTCTCATGGGCCCTTGCTAGCTTCCTGGCATCAACCCTCCCTCACTCCCATGTAGATACACGTATAGATATAATTAGAAGCTAAGATCCATGTGGGGGAGAACATGCATTATCTTTCTAAGCCCAGGCTGCCTCATTTTAGATAATATTTTCCAGGTCAGTCCATTTTCATGAAAATTGCATGATTTCATTTTTCTTTACGTCTGAATAAAACTCCCTTGGTCCTACCTCAGTTTCTTTCTTTTCCTTTTTTCCACGTCATTTTTTATTAAAGGACATGGAAATATGCACATACTCTGATGTTCTTTTTTAAGAATAATTTATTGAGAATTTCATACATGCATATAAGGTGTTTTGATCAAACCCATGCCCACTCCCTCCCCTCCAACTCCTCCCGTAGCTCCCCATCACTTTTTCTGATAACTTCATGTACCCTTTCTTCTTTTATTTTTTATGGGTCTTTTGGCTACTCTAACATTTCCCACCCCTCTGAAGAGGTAACCCTAAAATCTTTTAAGGATTAGATAAAAGCTCCTAAATTCTTTCTACATTTTTGGCCTTTGGAATGGAGTATGTTGCTAAGAGGCCCAAGGACATTGTGAGTTTTAGCCAAGAAACTGGCTACTTTTCTTTGGGGTCTTTTTACCCTAACTGCCTAGCCAATTCCCACCTCCCACTCTTATCACGCCATCCCCTGAAGAGGTTACCCGACTTGCTGGTAGGGAATCAGTTTCTCAATCTTGACTCAGGGAGGAAAGCTGAAAACAGGGCTGTGAGCGCCATCTGGTGGCCAGGCGTACACGCCCTTCCCTGCATTGTCTAAGTGAGACCTGTCCAGTCCTCAGGATATCTCTGATATCCTGATGCTTATCAGAGATTCATTTCCTCTCAATAGCAGTCCCACTGATATTTACGTGTGTCTAGACAAGATTTACAAACACACACAAAGGTATTATCAATATGACTTCCTTCCCCAAGGCAGTCAAAGTTAAAGCTAAAACACACAGGATAATCATAGCTACTATATTTACAGAGTACCAGGCATAGATTGAGCATTTTAAATCTACAACTTATTGACATCTCTCCAAAGTTCCAAGAGATGGGCACTAACCTGGCCACATTCACAGAAGTAAAAACTGAGGCAGGAGCCAAAGTTCTCCTTGTGACACAACCTGGGTATGACAGGAGCCAGATGTAGCGGTCTGCCTCTCAGGCTAGGTGGTACAAACCCCAACTCTGTGTGTGTATGTGTGTGTGTGTGTGTGTGTGTGTGTGTGTTTGTGTGTGTGTGAGAGAGAGAGAGAGAGAGATGTTACTATGGATGTGTACAGGTTGGGTGTGCGTGCATGTGTGGAGGCTGGAGGTTAAAGATGGCGTCTTTCTTCAATCGCTTTCAGCC